AGGCCAATATGGCGATATGTCTAGATTGTATGAAGCTTATTCGTATTGATAATGTAAAACCAACAAAGAAATTTCATAATGCTAGAAGTAGATATGTCGAAATTATCAAGCCAGAAGACTTGATGCAAAAACATTGGAATAATGAATGTGATAAACCAAAGACCGATTTCGAATGTGCCAGAGTTATACAAAGAGCTTTTCGAAATTATAAGAATAGACCCGAATCATTAGCAACCCAAGCTTGGAATGCAATGAAAAATGACGGTACTCCGGATAATGAAAAACTTCTAGGTCTAACTCCTCGCAAAATAAAAAATCCTCAAACTCGAGAACAATTTAATCAATGACATACTAAATGGATTGAATTATATAAAAACAATCCCATGATGTGCTATTACATTGTTAAAAGACAATATAAAGAAGATTATATTCCAGATGATTGGATAGGTCGCAAGAAAAACCAATTACGAGAAAGATTTCAAAAGCGACTTTTAAAACTTGAAGCATAATACACATTTTTTCGATTGATTTATTTATTAATATGTACTGTAACCTATTCATATATATCTATTTTTTCGTTATCTTTCCTAAAGGAAAGTTGGTAACATTTTTTTTTGTTAAATTTATGTAATTCTAAACGTACAGCATGTATTAGATCAAATCATAGTTTAACAATAAATAAAGGACTTGAAAGTCCCAGTCAAATTATCATTTAATATATAGGCACTTCGCGACTACTTTTGGTAATTAATATACATATAACGGATTTCACACTATTTTTGTTTTAAGTTACAAACTTTTCAGGATTCTATGCCTCAAAGAGGCACCCCTAAAGGGCCAGAATTCGACAGAATTTTTACTCAATGTATCAAATGAGATTCAATTAGGCATATACAGATTTAATAAAACAATTACCACCTTCATTACTAGAAGAATCATGGAGACGTTTAACTACAAGAAAGTGCAATCCACTGACAAAATTAGAAGCATGTGATATAGATCCAGATATTGAAGATTTTTTGCAACATGAAATTATGGTTTATAATAGGAAAAAAAATCGTTAGCGTCGGAGTCCATCACCACTTGAAAATTTATCATATAGTATAATCATGACTAACCAGGAAACTCAAACCCAAGATACTGTCCCGACCTGTAATCGGACACATAACTGCTCTTGTTTTGCATGTGAGGAGGTGATCAATTCTCGAGTTAAAAAAGAGTTAGATAGTTTATCCCTACAATTGCTTGAATACAATGAAAAAACTTTTGGCTCCTTAATGCAAGAAATCACTAAACAAATTGAGGAGCGTGTTAATGCTAATAATAAATTACGCAGTGAGATAGAGCGACAAAAAATACAATTGCATAAAGCGGAAAAATTAATTGCATCTCTTTCCATTAATAGCGAAGCTAGTGTCAAGACACATAAGTAGTGAATATGTTGATATCATGCTTTATTCATCTAATGACAGAATTTGATCCCAACCGAGTCTTATTCTGTGTGGATGCTCAGGAGCTACACTTAAATCGAAGACAATAAACTTTTGTTCGCATAAATACTTATTAACAATTTTATAGATACTGCGCCAATCGTTAACATATAAACAGAATATTCTGCTTAGCTTCTCTGAAGAACAACTCCCATTGAAGAGTACAACGTATTTTAAATTTTTTCTTATTAATTTTGGACAGTCAAAATAGCTTTGTGAGACATATATCGAAGAAACATTAGAATGACGTCCCTCGGTAAAATAAGGTATAATCTTTTCTTGAATTTTCTTTGGTTCGGTACATACATCCTCGAATATAGCCACTGTACCTCTTTCTGGTGAGAATGAATTTGGCTTTGGAATTTTATCTGGCTTTATAGCCCGAAATGTAATATCTTCACGATATAGTTCAGGACTATTTGCGATTATCTGAAATGCTAATTTAAGGAATATATATTTTGGCTCTTTGAGGTAATGACCAACAAGTACAACATCATCGCACTTAATATATTTAGTGCCTCCTTTTTTACCATTAAACATTCTATGTAGTTTATTTCTGACTAAAAGGTAAACAACTTCAGTAGATTTTTTTGTATTCGTCCGTCCTGAAAATAAGATTGTAAAGGGCCATTGAGGTGTTGAGTTCTTACTGTTATATTTCTCTGAATTTTTGTATTCATCTATATTAAGTACAAATTTCTCGACCGGATCAAGCTTTTCTATTTTCATCTCAATCAAGTTAAGTAACACTAATTATTGCTTTGCAGATATAAAGTATCTATATCGAAAATATATTTATTCCACGATTTTTACTCCAATAAATTAACAAAGGTAGTAGTAAATTAAGTATCTGTATCCGACCCACTATTTATATCTACCAAATTCCAGCCAGGAATAATGATATTGGGTTTTCTGCTTATTAAAGTATTAATGGCTACATCAGATAGATAATGACAATCTTCAATATTAAATTATGACATGAATGTGCTATTGCATAAATAGATGTATTAGTAATATAACAAGATTCAAGTTGAAGGCTTTCGAGCTTAGGGCAGAGTCATGCTATCTCACAAATAGACTCATCAGATATAGGATAACAATAAACAAGATTGAGATATTTAAGATTTGGGTTGAATTATGCGATTTTTTTAACCGATGTATCAGTAATCTCTTCACAGTCCTCCAACACATATTTTTGCATATTTGAACAAGTTAAAGCAATTGCGCATATACCCTCATCTGTTATTTTTTGGCATCCGACTAAACTTAGAATGAGAAGTTTTGGACATGATTCAGCAATCTGTTTTAATGATGTATCAGTAATATTACTTGACTGTAAACCAAGATATTCTAAGTGTGAGCAGTTTTGTACAATCTTGATTATAGATACATCGGTAATGTGCTTACTATATCCCAATTTCAGGCAATGCAAATTAGTACATAATTAAGCAATTTCTTTTAATGATATATCAGATAACTTAGAAGATTCAAGTTTTAAGTATTGTAGATTTGAGCATAAATTTGCGATTTTACATAAAATTATATCCTTCATATTATTTAATTTGCTAGATCGTTTTATACCTTTACTATTACACAAAATACTAAGAGATTCCAGAAGACAAATTTGCGTAATCTTACTAATAACTCTATCAGATAAACCATAATACCATTTGATTTTTAGATGACGTAAATTGGGACAGGATCTAGTAATTCCATATAGCTCATCATTAGAGACCTTACAACTAGAGATATGAAGTTGAAGTAAATATGAAGCATGAGGTTTTTGATTTCCACGCATTACTTTTTTAAATTTTCTCCAACCTATACATACATTGTTTAGCCCACCGATAAAATTAGCCTTTCTCCATAATACTGGAACGGAGTATAAATACCAGAACCGGTTAACGAATAAGGTTGGGAATAGTGCTTTGTCTTCGGTAAGATATGAGAAAATTTCAGTTAAAAGTTCAGGCAAGACAAGTGGATGAAGTTTGTTATATGTCATACTTATCTTATGAGTTTATTCTTTATCACATAAATAACCTTTTATAATGAGTGTATTTTTAATAAATTCGTATAAATCAGCATCAAAGCTAATTTCGATGAGATCTATACCTTCCTTTTTGCATATTTCCCACTTTTTTTCATCGCGTTTCCTTTGCTTATTCAAATCATCTCGTTTTTTATAAAACATTGCATTCTGATGAAAATGTTGAGAACCCTGGAATTCGTATGCCAATTTTAGTTCCTCATTATAGCCATCTAATTGTATCCCATTCAAAAATGATGGTTTACACGATAGAAACTTCTTATCCAACAGATCCTCAAAAATATATTTACATCTCCGTTCATTGGTGTGATGGAAACAAAGTGGGCACCATTCGAATTTACACTCTAATATTTCTAATGGATACTCAAACTGATGAAGTCCATTTTCACATATCCAGAGGTATACATCGAAGCCATTTATTTCGCCAGTTTTCCCAAGACATTGACCATCACGCTTCTCTGTGTATTTATGAGCCTTATCCATTTTATTAATAACACGAACGAAATTAACGGATCTGGAGTGAGTATTTTCTTCTAGTATACTCTGGGGCGAATATTGAAGCTTTTCTAAATCGATTAACATTAATTCTTCTCGCACAAATCCCCGTTTTGGTGTGAACTCATCACCTTCAAGATAGTATAAAACTGGTTTATTCTTTGTCATTACGATTTTTCGAATTTTTAATAGTGATGGACTCCATATCAGGTCAGTCGCGCGTCTCTGGTTCTCCATATCTCCTTCCCATTCTACATTAGCCAACAAATAACGGACTGTGTCACCCTTCTTCAGCTTTTCTTCATTTTTCCCAACAGGGCGCTTGTAGTTTGTAGATGGCCTAGATTCTACTCGTTCTAACCGAACGGCCAGCTTGGAAGCTAAACCCCATTTCGATGAACCTGGAATTCTAAAAAGACGTGTAGGATAATTATTGAGGTGTTCAATAACTTTTGGTAAATACTTAACCCATGCTCTTATTGATCTAGGGTCTTGAGTTTTACTTTCGACAGCATATTGAATTTTATAGAGAATTTTCGAGATCATCTGATTGAATCTCTCTACAATTGCCATCCCACGATAAAAGTATGGACCAATAACTCGAATTATGACATTATGCTCTTTCATTAACTGGCTAACTGATTTTTTGAACTCCGCCCCCCGTCACATTGTAATAATTAAGGATAGGTAAGAGGGTTATTTCGATCATTATAAATTTTCCTGAATGCCTTAGCAACCTCTGAACTTTTCTTCAATGTTAATGGAACTGATGCTTTGTACCTGCTACTCACATCCACTATGTTAAAAACTGCCACCCATTTTTTACCTTTATAATGATCATGTGTAAGGAATAAGAGATCGCACTGATGTACACAATTTGGCCTGCTAATTTTCCCATAACTCACTCTGGAAATACGTTTCGGGGGTGGTGCATGTATCTGCCATATACTCTGATTTGTGAGCCATTTTTTAATTTCGGAAAGCTTAAATTTATGCCCCTTCTTTCGGCATGTATCTCTCAACACTTTTGTATTGGAGAAAAAACCAGTGGGGCGATAATATAAATTACGCAATATAGCGGAGCTAGTATCAAGACACTTAAGATTTTTTTCAATATCACGAGCTTCATTAGGATCTATAATGATACTAGGATTACTCATTTTTGTATAATATATATAGGCGAGGCACACAAAATAAACAGGTAGACATATTTATCGTTATTTCACGAAGGATGTGATCGGTGTATATATAATACATTTCGATGGATAATCTTGTTGTAACCATTAAGAAATTACGTATTCAGATCTAGAAAAATGAGGATTATACATCAGGAAATTTAATTAGGCGTCGATTTACGGAATCTCACATGACCTCCGGAAATTTCCGCCTGAAAAATTTG